GACAGTACCACAACACCAGGCCTCAGTGAGAAATCGACCACTTTCCACAGTAGCCCCAGATCTCCAGACACAACACTCTCACCTGGCAGCACGAGAAGCTCAGGTGTCAGTCAAGAATCCACCACCTCCCTCAGCCGACCAGGGTCAACGCACACAACGGCGTTCCCTGACAGCACCACCATACCAGGCCTCAGTCAGGAATCTACAGCTTCCCACAGAAGCCCAGGCTCAGCTGACAAAACACTGTTCCCTGGCAGGACCACAGCATCATCCCTTAATCAAGAATCCACAACCTTCCACAACAGCCCAGGCTCCACTCACACCACACTCTTCCCTGAAAACACCACAACCTCAGGCCTCGTTGAAGCATCTACGCCCGTCCACAGCAGGACTGGCTCACCACACACAACACTGTCCCCTGTCGGCTCTACAACCCGGCAGGGGGAAGCTACAACCCTCGCGAGATGGTCAAGCTCAAATGACACTACGCCTGCACCTCCTACTACCACATCAACCTATGTTGATGTATCTACATCCTACCATAGAAGCCCGAGCTCAACTCCAACAACCCTCTTTTCTGTCAGCTCCACAAGCTTGGGCCGTAGTGAGGAATCAACAGTAGTCCACAGCAGCCCAGATGCAACTGGAACAAAACCCTCCCCCACCCATTCCACAGCCTCAGGTCGTGGAGAATCTACAATCTCACCCATCAGTCCAGGCGCAGTTGAAATAACAATGTTACCTGGCAGTACCACAACAACAGGCCTCAGAGAGACATCTACCACCTTACACAGTAGCCCCAGATCACCGACCACAACACTCTCACCTGCCAGCGCGACAAACCTAGGCGTCAGTGAAGAATCCACCACATCCTATAGCCAACCAGGCTCAACTCCCTCAACAGTGTCTCTGGCCAGCACCACCACGCCAGGCCTCAGTGAGGAATCTACCACCATCTACAGCAGCCTAGGCTCAACTGAAACCACTGTGTCCCCTCGCAGCAGCACAACCTCAATTCGTGGGGAAGAATCCACAACCATCCACAACTGGCCAGCCTCAACTCACACAACACTGTTCACTGAGGACACCACCAACTTGGGACTCACTGAGCAATCTACAGCCCTTCCCGGCAGCCTTGTCTCCACCCAAACGGTGTTACCTGCCACCCTCACAACCACAGACCTCGGTGAGGAACCAACAACCTTCCCCAACACCTCAGGCTCAAGTGCAACAACCCTCCTACCTGCCCGCTCCACAACCTCAGGCCTTGTTGGACAATCTACAACCTCACTCATGAGTCCAACCTCAACTGATACAACAACAACTTTACCTGGCATTACCACATCACCAAGCCTCAGTGAGAAATCTACCACCTTCTACACTAGCCCCAGATCACCAGATGCAACACTCTCACCTGCAATCACAACAAGCTCAGGCATCAGTGAAGAATCCAGCACATCCCTTAGTCAACCAGGCTCAAAGCACACAACAGCCTTCCCCGACAGCACCACCATGTCAGGCCTCAGTCAGGAACCTACAACTTCCCACAGCAGCCAAAGTTCAACAGACACAGCACTGTCCCCTGGCAGTACCACAGCCTCATCCCTTGATCAAGATTTTACAACCTTCCCCAGCAGCCCAGGCTCCACTGAAACCACAGTCTCACCTGAAAACACCACAACCTCAGGCCTCGATGAAGCCTCTACACCCATCCACAGCAGCACTGGCTCACGACACACAACACTGTCCTCTGCCAGCTCCACAAGCCCAGGCCTTCAGGGAGAATTTACCACCTTCCAAACCCACCCAGGCTCAACTCACACAGCACCTTCACCTCCCAGCACCACAACTACCCTTGTTGAAGAGTCTACTACCGCCGTCAGCAGCCCGGGCTCAAGTGCAACAACACACTTCCCTGACAGCTCCACAACCTCAGGCCATAGTAAGGAATCAACAGCATCCCACAGCAGCCCAGACACAATGGAAACCACATTCTTACCCACCCGCTCCACGGTCTCAGCTCTTTTTGGAGAATCTACAACCTCACCCATCAGTGCAGGCTCAGTGGAAACAACAATATTACCCGACAGTACCACAACACCAGGCCTCAGTGAGAAATCGACCACTTTCCACAGTAGCCCCAGATCACCAGACACAACACTCTCACCTGGCAGCACGAGAAGCTCAGGTGTCAGTCAAGAATCCACCACCTCCCTCAGCCGACCAGGGTCAATGCACACAACGGCGTTCCCTGACAGCACCACCATACCAGGCTTCAGTCAGGAATCTACAACTTCCCACAGCAGCCCAGGCTCAACCAACACAACACTGTCCCCTGGCAGTACCACAGCATCATCTCTTGGTCAAGAGTCCAAAACCTTCCATAGCAGCCCAGGCTTCACTCACACCACACTCTTCCCTGACAACACCACAACCTCAGGCCTCATTGAAGCATCTACGCCCATCCACAGCAGGACTGGCTCACCACACACAACACTGTCCCCTGTCGGCTCTACAACCCGTCAGGGAGAAGCTACCACCCTGCCGAGCAGGTCAAGCTCAAATGACACTAGGCCTGCACCTCCTACTACCACATCAGCCTTTGTTGATGTATCTACATCCTACCATAGAAGCCCAAGCTCAACTCCAACAACCCTCTTTTCTGTCAGCTCCACAAGCTTGGGCCGTAGTGAGGAATCAACAATAGTCCACAGCAGCCCAGATGCAACTGGAACAACACCCTCACCCACCCACTCCACCACCTCAGGTCGTGGAGAATCTACAATCTCACCCATCAGTCCAGGCCCAGCTGAAATAACAATGTTACCTGGCAGTACCACAACAACAGGCCTCAGTGAGACGTCTACCACCTTACACAGTAGCCCCAGATCACCGACCACAACACTCTCACCTGCCAGCATGACAAGCCTAGGCGTCAGTGAAGAATCCACCACCTCCCATAGCCAACCGGACTCAACTCACTCAACAGTGTCTCCGGCCAGCACCACCACGCCAGGCCTCAGTGAGGAATCTACCACCATCTACAGCAGCCCAGGCTCAACTGAAACCACAGTGTTTTCTCACAGCACCACAATCTCCATTCATGGTGAACAATCTACAGCTTTCCTTGGCAGCCCACGCTTCACCGAAATAGTGTTACCTGCCACCCTCACAACCAGAGACCTCGGTGAGGAATCAACAGCCTTCCATAGCAGCTCAGACGCAACTGGAACAACACCCTTACCTCCCCACTCCACAACCTCAGCTCTTGTTGAAGAATCTACAACTTTCTACATGAGCCCATCCACTAATTACACAACCCTCTTTCCTGCCAGTTCCAGCACATCAGGCCTCACTGTGGAATCTACCACCTTCCACACCAGTCCAAGCTTCCCTTTTACAATTGCATCTACTGAAAGCCTGCAAACCTTAGTGCCAGGTACTGCTCTTTCAATTTCATCCACATTTAGCTTCTTCTCCAGGCCTGTCCATGAGTCTTCTTCATCCATTACAAACTCTTGGTTCTTTTCCTCTATCTTCCACTTTACTTTGGTCTACTGACTATCCAGTTTCTGGGTTTGATACCACTTCCAGTGTTCATGTGCCATTCACTGGTCCCCACACATCGATGATGACAATCTCTCCTTCCTCTATGACTCCAGGGTGGGGTTGTTGTTTTGTTGTTTGTTTGTTTGTTTTTGCATCCTTCTATGAACCCCTTCTCTGTGTTTCTTTTTTTTTTTTTTTTTTTTTGAGACAGAGTCTTGCTCTGTTGCCCAGGGTGGAGTGCAATGGCACGATCTTGGCTCACTGCAACCTCTGCCTCCTGGGTTCAAGCGATTCTCCCGCCTCATCCTCCCGAGTGGCTTAGATTACAGGTGCCCACCACCACACCGAGCTAATTTTTATATTTTTAGTAGAGACGAGTTTTTACCATGTTGACCAGGCTAGCTGCAAACTCCTGACCTCATGTGATCCACCCACCTCAGGCTCCCAAAGTGCTGGGATTACAGGCGTGAGCCACCGCGCCCGCCCGCCTTCTCTCTGTCGTCATGAGCATCTGCATCTTCTTTGGTCTCCTGTGGTTCTGTTTCACATTTCCTACTCTTGCTCCTTGCTGTTTCAGGTGATCCCAGGGGTAGAGTTGTCCTCTTTTCATACATGAGTGCTTTTTTCAGAGCTGGACCTCTTGTATCTTTTGTTTCCTTACTGTCTGCTGTTCCTCCTCACTTTCTTACTATCTCCCAGGGATGGGGGTGGCAGCAGAGGCATCTTCGTCGCTGCATGGTCATCTGGCACCATCCTCCTCTCCAGTGTGATGCTGAATGACTGGACCTGGAATGGGAGCGCGTGTTTTTGCCCTTTGGGCTCCCATGGTGACTGCTGTGGATTCTCTTTCTACACAGGGTCATGCCAGGAAGGACAAATCTGGAATGGAAAACAATGCGTCTGTCCCCAAGGCTACGTTGGTTACCAGTGCTTGTCCCCTCTGGAATCCTTCCCTGTAGGTAATGACCTTTTCTGAGACCTGCAGCTCTTTGCAGGGCCTTTGACCCCTGAAAACAGCATGGCAGTGTTGGATCAACCACTGCCTCACTTGCAGGTGGAGGAGGTGTGATTCTTCCCAGCAACACTGTAGGGAGAGCATGAACCTTCTACCTCTGCCTTCAGGGACAAAAGTAGAAGGTAGAAAAATGGGGTGGTCGATTTTTTTTAAATTTTTAATTTTTGGGGATACATAGTAGATGTATATATTTATGCAGCATACATGAGCTGTCTTGTTACAGGAATGCAATGTGTAATAATCACAGCATGGAAAATGGGGTGCCCATTCCCTCAAGCATTTAATCTTTATGTCACAAACAATCCAATTGTGCTATTTTCGTTATTTTATTTTATTTTATTTTTTTATTTTTTGAGAAAGGGTCTCGCTCTGTCTCCCAGGCTGGAGTGTGGTGGCACGATCTTGGCTCACTGCGACCTCCACCTCCTGGATTCAGGTGATTCTCCTGCCTCAGCATCCTGAGTAGTTGAGATTACAGGCATGGGCCACCATGCCTGGCTAATTTTTGTATTTTTAATAGAGACGGAGTTTCACCATATTAGCCAGGCTGGTCTGGAACTCCTGATCTTAGGTGATCTGCCTGCCTCGGCCTCCCAAAGCACTGGGATTACAGGCAAGCGCCATCGCACCCAGCTATTTTAGTTATTTCTAAATGTACAATTAAATTCTTATTGACTATAGTCACGCTGTTGTGTTAAATAGCAGGTCTTACTCATTCTTTCTAACTATGCATTTTTTGTACCCATTAACCATGCCCACCTCCGTCTCACCGCCACCCCACTACCCTTCCCAGCCTCTGGTAACCATCCTTCTACTCTGTCCCCATGAGTTCAATTGTTTGGACTTTTAGATTCCACCAGTAAGTGAGAACATGCAATGTTTGTCTTTCTGTGCCTGGCTTATTTCACTAAACAATGACCTCCAGCTTCATCCATGTTGTTGCAATTGACAGGATCTCATTCTTTTTGATGGCTGAATAGTACTCCATTGTGTATATGTACCAGGTCTTCTCTATACATTCATCTGTTGATGGACACTCGGGTTGCTTCTAAGTCTTGGCTATTGTGAACAGCAACAAACATGGGAGTGCAGAGATCTCTTCGATGTACTGATTTCCTTTCTTTTGGATATATACCCAGCAGTGGGATTGCTGAATTGTATGGTAGCTCTATTTTTAGTTTTAGGAATCTCCCTTTCTTTTGAGATAGGGTCTCACTCTGTGGCCCAGGCTGGAGTGCAGAGGTGCAGATCATAGTTCACTGCAGCCTTGAACTCCTGGGCTCAAGTTATCCTCCAGCCTCAGCCTCCTGAGTAGCTGGGAGTACAGGTGTGCACCACCACGCCTGGCTAATATTTTTGCTTTTGTGGAGACAGGGTCTCACTTTGTTGCCCAGGCAGGTCTTCCCATCTCCCCAATGCACTGGGATTACAGGTGTGAGCCACAGCACCTGGCCCAGGGCCCTTTCCATTAGCTCACCTGTCCCTCTCATCAGAGGGCTTCTGTACTTAGTACTGTCCCTTCCCCTCCTGGCCACTGGCTCCTAAGGGTTTTGGGAGACAGGCAACAGAAGTCTCAGTGACCCCCACCTTCCTCTTAAGTTTCCTTCACCTGCAAGACACCCACAGGCAGAGACTGTATCAATACTTGAGGACATTATTGGGAGGTTGCTGTCTCACGCATACCATGGCCTTTTCCCACAGAAACCCCGGAAAAACTCAATGCCACTTTAGGTATGACAGTGAAAGTGACTTACAGAAATTTCACAGAACAGATGAATGACTCATCCTCCCAGGAATACCAGAACTTCACTAACCTCTTCAAGAATCGGGTAAGACCAGGGCACACCCAGACACCCCAGGGTGATGTCCCATGTGAGAGGAAATTGGGGAGTGCACCCTGACTTAGTGATCTGAGTTCTGCTCATGAGCCCCCTCCCCACCAGTCTCCCTAAGTCTTGAAAGGAGGTCATCTGAGAGTTTCCAGCCTTCAGCCCCACATGACCCACATTATGGCAGAGGGAGCTTCCTGGGGTGGTGGTTCTTCCTATGGGATCTTACGTGGGCTCCACAGAAGGGTGCCTAGGGCTGCCTCGAGACGGGGAACAGGAGAGTCTTCACGCTGTAGCTCTGTGTGACCTTCACTGCCTTGTTTCTTTCAGATGAATGTCGTTTTGACGGGCGACGATCTTCCACAGTATAGAGGGGTGAACATTCGGAGATTGCTGTGAGTATATTGGGGGGCAGATTTATAGATGTGGGGAAATCCTCCTTGTCCCTGCTTTCCTGCCTCCTCCTATCATGAATGGCTAGAATGTCAATACCTGGTTGGGTCAGAGAGGACTGCAGCCGCTAGGTAAGTGCGGGGGGCTGTGAGACCATTCATTCTTCATTCATTCATCCAGTCAACATACATTTGTTGAAAGCCAACCCCCTGCTGGGTGCTGGGAACACAGCAGTCCTGTTTTCCTGGAGCTCAGAGTGGCAGAACACAGACGGAAAAGTGGTTGTGCAGTCTGCTTAGAGTTACAGTGAGGGGCACACAGGGTGCCCTGGGAGAGGTCCCAAAAGCAAAGCTTGGTGAGGCAGAGGGAATTCTTTCTGGGAAAACTGGCAACAGGCTGGGCGTGGTGGCTCATGCATGTAATCTCAATGCTTTGCGAGGCCAAGGCGGGAGGATCACTTCAGGCCAGGAATTAGAGACTAGCCTGGGCAACATAGCGAGACCCCATCTGTACAAAAAAAAAAAAAAAAAGTAACAGCAAAACTGAGGCTTGAAGCATGAGGAGGAATGATCCAGAGAGGGGGAAGGGAAGGAGAGGCAGTTGCAGCAGCGGGAATCAGTGAGAAGGAGCCCAGACAGGAGAGAGAGGAGGGCAGATTCCAGGAACCTAAAGACGCTCGGAACAGCTGGGTGCTTAAGAGCAAAGGAGCAGTAACTGGGCAGGAGGTTGGAAAGATGGCTCATGCCAAGTTAGTCAGACTTTCGGCATCAGCAGTGTAGGCCCACAGCGGATAGTGTCTAGTCTGCAGAGTAGACAGCTCAGTCTGGCTGTAGGATGGAGATTGCATAAGCAGAAGTCTGTACTGGAGATGATGGTGGCCTACACCAGATAGGTGACAGTATAGGAGCAAACAGGTCCAGTGTGAAAGGTCTTTGGGAGGCAGGATCAGCAGACCATGGCATTTGCTGTGGGAGAGGAGGGAGAGAAGAATGAGGAATTAGGGCAGATTTCTGGGCTGCTGGAGGTGTGGGGTGCCCTGTGCTGGGTCAAGGAATGTCATGAGAGGTAGAATGGGGGAAGGAGGTAATGAGTTTGGTGTGCACCATGTCAACTTTCAAGTGCCCAGGGCCCAGCCACATGGAGTAGTTGCATGATACAGCAGTAGAATATGCCCTAAAGAGTCTTATTTTGGGGGGATCGAGGGGCAGGGTCTTGCTCTCTTGCCCAGGCTGGAATGCAGTGGCATAATCACGGCTCATTATAGGCTCAACCTCTCAGGTTCAAGCAATCCTCCCATCTCAGCCTCTTGAGTAGCTGGGACTACAGGCCTGTGCCATCATGCTTGGCTAATTTTTGTAATTTTTTTGTTTTGCTTTTTCTGAGACAGAGTCTTGCTCTGTCTCCCGGGCTGGAGCGCAGTGGTGCAATGTCGGCTCACTGCAGCCTCCTTCTTGCAGGTTCAAGTGATTATCCTGCCTTAGCTTCCCAAGTAGCTGGGACTACAGGCACATGTCACCACACCTGGCTAAATTTTGTATTTTTAGTAGACACACAGTTTCACCATGTTGGCCAGGCTGGTCTTGAACTCCTGACCTCAAGTCATCTGCCCGCCCTGGCCTCCCAAAGTGCTGGGATTACAGGTGTAAGCCACGCCTCTGACCTAATGTTTGTAATTTTTGCAGAGATGGGGTCTTGTTATGTTGCCCAGGCTGGTCTCAAACTCCTGGGTTCAAGTGATCCTCCCGCCTCAGCCTCCCAAAGTGCTGAAATACAAGCGTGAGCCACCATGCCCAGCCTCTAAAGGGTCTTATGAGAGACACGGGCATTGGTATCCACAGATGGATGTCGCTGGAAGTCCTGAGAGTGGGATGAGATGGCCCAGGTCGGGGGTGAGGGAGGGTCATAGCACAAAACGAGGGTCTCCCAGGAATGAAGCTGGAAAGCAGCAACATTTAAGATCTAGCCAGAGCCCCCAGTGGAGAGTGGAAAGAGGCAAACAGAGGAGTGGGAAGGGTGCCTCAAGAGTGCCGTGTCCTTGCAGCAGGGAAGAGAGGGTCCCGGTGCCCCAACCTTGCCCCTGGCTCAGCATTGGCACCCTGGTCTTTCTCTCCATTTTGGCTCAGGATTTTTTTTTTTTTTTTTTTTTTTTTTGAGACGGAGTCTCGCTCTGTCGCCCAGGCTGGAGTGCAGTGGCCGGATCTCGGCTCACTGCAAGCTCCGCTTCCCGGGTTCACGCCATTCTCCTGCCTCAGCCTCCCGAGTAGCTGGGACTACAGGCGCCCGCCACCTCGCCCGGCTAGTTTTTTTTTTGTATTTTTTATTAGAGATGGGGTTTCACCATGTTAGCCAGGATGGTCTTGATCTCCTGACCTCGTGATCCACCCATCTCGGCCTCCCAAAGTGCTGGGATTACAGGCTTGAGCCACCGCGCCCGGCCAGGCTCAGGATTTTTTTTGTTCAAGTCCTCCTGAGTCCTACTACTGACTTATCTTTCAAAATGACAGTGACAGGTGACTTGCCTTGTCTCAAGATCTCTCCCCTCAGTTGCATCATTGGCTATTGAAGAAGTAACTTCTAGGTTATAAACTTACCTTTCTTTTTCTTTCTTTATTTTTAAAATTTAAAAATATGGGGTCTTGCTCTGTTGCCAGAAGTGCAGTGGTGCAATCATAGCTCACCGCAGCCTCAAACTCCTGGACTCAAGCGATCCTCCTGCCGCAGCCTCCTGAGTAGCCGGGACTACAAGTGTGCACCACCTTGGCTGGCTAATTTCTGTATCTTTTGTAGAGATGGTGTCTCACCATGTTGCCCAGGCTGGTCTTGAACTCCTGGCCTCAAGCAATCCTCCTACCTTGGCCTGCCAAAGTGCTGGGATGATAGGCATGAGCCACCTCACTTCCTGCCCTGTTCTTCCCTTTTAAGGCTAAATAATATTCCACAATAGACCACATTTTGTTTCTCCATTTGTCTGTTGATGGACCCTTGGTTTGCTTCCACCTTTCGGCTATGGTAAATAATGCTACTGAAAACACGAGGGTACAAATATAAATTCAAGACCTGCTTTCAGTTATTTTGTGTATATACCCAGAAGTAGAACTGCTGGATCATGCATTAATTCTACTTTACATTTTTTAAGGAACTCCATACTGTTTTCCATAGCAGCTGCACTATTTTACTTTCGCATCAACAGGACACAGGGATTCGAATTTCTCCACCTGTTCATCCAAGAGCCTCTATTTTGCGAGAGATGAATTTCACTCATTGGCATTTATTGTGATCACTGATATATTTGAGATCTTGAATCGTTTTGCTCTCGTCCCTCTGTCTGGGTGGTCAGCTGCTGGGGGGAAGACTCTGTATTCTTTCTCACCTGTGGGGCACATGGCTGCTTCATCTCCCATTACCCCTCTGGGTGCTTGGTCTCCGCTTGCCGGCTGGGTGGTGACACGGGTAACTGATGAAACAATTCCCACTTCCAGCAACGGTAGCATCGTGGTCAAGAATGATGTCATCCTGGAGGCAGACTACACTTTAGAGTATGAAGAACTGTTTGAAAACCTGGTAGAGATTGTAAAGGCCAAGATTATGAATGAAACCAAAACAGTTCATGATCCTGATTTCTGCAGAGGTAGGCTCACCTAAAACCCCTTGACACCTGTGGGCGTCTTGGAGATCGTGACCTTGATCTCTCCCTCCCCTATCTCTTCTTTCTTCTGGACCCCCAAGACTCCTGCCACAGGAACCCAGAAGCCAGGCCCAGGCTGCCTTCTCCAGATCCCAAACCTGCTCCCAACAGCCTCCTGTTGGTCCCAGGCTGAGGCTGTCATATCCCCATTTGAGCCTCCTCATAAGCCCAGCTGCATGTCTAGGGTGGGCAAAGACCCCACGGGTATTGGCCCAGGGGAGGGCATAGTAAAGAAGAAGAGAGAGGCCTGGCTACCCCCAGGGAGGCAGAGGGAAGTGTCTCTGTTCCATCTTCCTTCCTATCCACTCTCAGCAGAGGCCATACTGTGCTATAGTGAAGAGGACACTTTCGTGGATTCATCGGTGACACTGGGCTTTGACTTCCAGGGTAAGCAGCTGTGTGGAGTGTGGTCACTAAGAGTGGGGGCTGGGGTGCTTTGGCCAGGCTCATGCGTGCTGCCCGCCCCTCTCCCCCAGAGCAATGCACCCAGAAGGCTGCCAAAGAATATGCCCAGTTCTACTATGCGGATGTCTTGGATGGGAAGCTGGCCTGTGTGAACAAGTGCACCAAAGGAACGAAGTCCCAAATGAACTGTAATCTGGGCGTGTGTCAGCTGCAACGCAGTGGCCCCCACTGCCTGTGAGTGTCCCCACAAGCCCAGCGCCTACTCTGTCCTGGTGGTAGGGCCCTCCCCCTCCCCAGCAGTCACCCACAGGGTGGGGGGATTGAGTAGAACTTGGCAGGTGCCTCCTCCCCACTCCTGGACATCCCTCTCCCCTGTATCCTCATCCCCACCCCCCACACCCACAACAGTGAGGAGTAGGAGTAGATTATAGACACAAAGGTCCAAGAGCTGGGCAATCCCTTCCTGAGAAAGTTCAAGCTATCAAGTTCCAAATCTATCTCTATCTCTATCTGTGTCTGTGTCTCTACCTCTATCTATCTATATTGTTAATTTCCCTTACATCATCCCAGCCATGCTGTCGTGGTTACCTCTAGCTGCAGCCAGAGCACTAAGTCCACAGACCATAAATTAAAGTGCAAAATAAAAAACACGATAACAGGCCCATTTAGGTGGCAGACGATTAGAGAGTAGATGGGTGAATGGCATGTGTCTGGGACGAGACACCCAACACTCTCGGGTCCCCCTGAGCCCTAGTCATTTCAATTCCTGATCTGCAGTCTCCAGGTCCCCCCAACTCCTTCAGCGCCCATCAGACTGAGGAAGTCAGGGACCCAGGCTCTCTGGGGGCTGAGCTCCAGCCCTTGGAGTGAGGGAGATCTGGTTTCCTGTGTTTAGGAGAGTGGGTTTGCCCTTGGGATATTGGATGTGAGGGATCCCGGGGGGTCAGCCTGAGTTTGTCTGTGTCCCCAGGTGCCCAAATACGGACACACACTGGTACTGGGGAGAGACCTGTGAATGGAACATCGCCAAGAGCCTCGTGTATGGCATCGTGGGGGCTGTGGTGGCGGTGCTGCTGCTCTCATTGATCATCCTGGTCATCTTATTCAGCCTATCCCAGAGAAAACTGCACAGGTGAGCTTGTGGGGCCAGCCCCGCAGGCCCAGAGACAGGGGACAGACCCTGGGGCAGCCACTGTCTGAATGTCCTAAGGCTCTGCTCCTTCCAGGCCAACAGTCAGAGAGGTCAGCTGAGGCCAGACGGGGTGCCCAGACCCTCCCAGCCCTGGGTACAGCAAAGGGCGGCCTTCCTATAGGATATATCAATTTGGCAGAGTGTTTTAGTTCATTTTCTGCTATTATAACAGAATACCACCACTGGGTAATTGTAAACAATAGAAGTTTATTTGGCTCACAGTTTTGGAGGCTGGGAAGTCCAAGATCAAGGGGCTGCATCTGGTCAGGACTTTCTTGCTGCATCACAGCATGGAAAGACAGCAGTCTGCATCACATGGACAGAGAGGAAGAGAGGGCTGAACTCACTTTTTTTTTTTTCTTAAGAGACAGGGTCTTGCTCTCACCCTGGAGTGCAGTGGTATCATCTCGGCTCACTGCAACCTCTGCCTCCCAGGTTGAAGCGATTCTCGTGCCTCAGCCTCCTGAGTAGCTGGGATTACAAGTGCATTCCACCATGCCTGGCTAATTTTTGTATTTTTAGTAGAGATGGGGTTTCACCATGTTGGCCAGGCTGGTCTCGAACTCCTGACCTCAAGTGATCCACCCACCCTGGCTTCCCAAAGTGCTGGGATTACAGGTGTGAGCCACTGCACCCGGCCCTAAATAATTAAATTAAATTAAATTAAATGTTTTGTAGAAATAGGGTCTCACTATATTGCCCAGGCTGGTCTGAAACTCCTGGCCTCAAGCAGTCCTCTCACCTCAGCCTCCAAAGCTGTTGGGATTACAGGCGTGAGCTGCCGCCCCCCGGCTGTCTGAACTCGCTTTTATTACACACCCACTTTCGAGATAATGACATTAATCTATTCACGAGGACAGCACCTTCATGACCTAATCACGTCTTCAAGGTCCTACCTCTCAGCTTTGCTGCATTGGGGGTTAAATTTCCAATGCATGAACTTTAAGGGACACGTTCAAACCATAACACAGAGACTGGAAACAGAAGCTTATGTGTGGAACCTAGGCTATGTAATGACATTCCCCGTGGTTAGTTATCACTCACCTGGCCACCACAGAGCACGGCACCACATGGGGAAGCTGAGATGGAGCGTCTGGGTCTCGCTTTTCCCAGCTGTAAAATGGGATAAGATGCACCTGTGAAGGTTGCTGGGAAACCCTGGCACAGTACTTGGCCCGAAGTTGGCAATTGAAGGGAGCTACCCTATGCCCCCATTTCACAGATATGGAAACTGAGGCCCACTAAACGGAGTGAGGGGCAGCCGGGAGGCCTGGCCAGTGCCTGCCTTGGAAGAGGGGAAGCTATGGTGATGCTACTTTTTGTTCTCTGCCATCATCGCTGCCGTCTCTGACTTGGGGTGTGGCTGTGACTGTCCCCTCAAGGGAAGCTGAAGGTCTGGGTCCACCAAGTCCCTCCTCAGCCTCCTTGACTACAGCTGCTCACGGCATTTCTGTCTGCAGGCAACAGTATGATATGCCTCAAGAGTGGCGAAACGAAGGCACCCCTGGCACTTTCCAGAAGACGGCCATCTGGGAAGGTACCTCTAGTTAAGGGCAAGGGGATGAGCAGAGCTGGAGGGTGAAGAAAGACAGGGCGGTGCCTGTGCCTGTGGGGGTGACGTGGGGTCCTGCCCCCCTTCACGGTGGCTGTGGCTGACAGCCTGTTCCCCCTGCTGCAGCCCCGGACCCAAACACCACCCCTGCTGTGTGCAAGGGTGCAGGAGTGGTTGAGAACCAGATCCTGCCCCTAGAGACCAACTCAGTGAGGGTATCCAATGCACACTCAGCTAAGCAGGGTGATAGAGCCATTCCCAGGGCAGAGGGAGCAGAGGGGAGGACCTAACCCAGCCTGGGTGGGGATGGGGGATCAGATAAGCCCCGAGGTGAGACTAATTCTTGAGCAGGTGGGTAAGCAGGTGCGCTTCCTCCTTCAACAGAGGGAGAGCCCAGTAAGCAGGGAGGCCGTATCCCAGTGAGGATAAGGGAAAGGGCACCCCAGGCAGGGGGACTGCGTGAGAAACCCTGCAGTTGGGAAAGAGCTTGCTTTTGGTGGGGAAGGGAAGGCAGGTCAATCTCACAGAGTAAGGGACGTGAGGTTGGCAGGGCTTCAGGAATGGGGTGGGGGGTTGAGGGGCTTTTGCACCCCCCCCCTTTTTTTTGAGACAGAGTCTCGCTCTCTGGCCCAGGCTGCAGTACAGTGGTGTGATCTTGGCTCACTGCAACCTCTGTCTCCCAGATTCAAGCGATTCTCCTGCCCTCAGCCTCCCTAGTAGCTGGGATTACAGGCATGCCACCACGCCCAGCTAATTTTTGTATTTTCAGTAGAGATGGTAGAAACAGGGTTTCATCATGTTGGCCAGGCTGCTCTCGAACTCCGGACCTTAGGTGATCCACCCGCCTTGGCCTCCAAAGTGCTGGGATTACAGGCATGAACTACCATGCCCGGCCACATTTTGAATTTTTTTTACTCAAAAGGCCATTCTGGGAGCACTAAAGCAGGGAGACCAGGTGGAGGAAGTAAGGCTGAGGGGTGGGGGAGGAAGAGGAGACACAACCTGGTAGAGGAGAGGCTGAGGGGGTGGTGGAGGTGAGGTTGAGAGGGTGGGGGAGGGAGAGGGAGTGAGGGAGGATTTCCAGGATTGTCTGAGCTGACCCTTGGGCCCCGATGGATGGGGGAGAAGCAGCCGGTGGGGCACACTGAGTTGGGGGGCTGGTGGGTGCTGAGGGGAAGGCTGCAAGGCTGGTGCCTGTCTGAAGCTCCGGGAGGGGTCTGCAGCCTGAACCACGGACTGGAACTTGTCCATTCATCGGGGAGAATGCAGAGTGAGAAGTGAGAAGGGTGAAAGTGGAACACCACCACCCCCGGGGAGCCACCGTAGACGGACAGGTAGGGCATGAGGACCCCGACCTCGAAGGAGGCAGGAAAAGAGGGGTCAGAGGTGCGGGGAGAGTCCCGGAGTCAAGAGAGTGAGTGGTTCTGCGAGACCAGGAAGTAAGTGATCGCTGTGCTCTGGGAGGATGCTGGAAGCAGATTCCAAGCGCAGCTCTTTTGCTTGCTATGGCTACCGTTGCTATGAGGGAGTGCGGCCCTGCTGACCCAGAGCCAGCCCTGCCTCCCGCTCCACTCTGACCTCATCCCTGAGTCCAGGGCTGCACGCACGCTCTTCTGTGGCCCGGGCTACCACCCCGTGCATGTGAGGGAGTTCTGCTCCGCTCCCTCCTGTTCCAGGGTCCAGCGGGCGGCTCCCCAGGCAGGCTAGGCACTTACCCGCTGCCCAGTGATGCAGGGGCGGAGGGGTGGTCGGCAGTGGGAAAGGGTGTAGGGTAGATGCCGGGCTGACTCTTTTGCTGGAAGAAATCCCCACTGCCCCGGAGTCCTCCCTCCCACCCCCCCACCAAGGCTCCCATCACTCAGCACTGCCTCTCCCTACAGACCAGAATCTGAGGGAGAGCAGATTCAGCCTCCAGAACGCCTACAACAATTTCCGGCCCACCCTGGAGACTGTTGACTCAGGCACAGAGGTGACTCAGCTGCGAGCTGCCCCCACCCTCTGAGGCTGCTCCACTTCCTCTGGGGTTCCCTCTTCCCCCTGGGACTCCCTCCCTCCCCCTGGGACTCCCTCCTCCTCCTGGGGATCCCTCCTACCCCCAGGGCTCCCTCCTCCCCCTGGGGCTCCCCTTTTCCCGGGTCTGCCCCTTGGCCTCACCTCTTCTCTCCCGCCCCCCAGCTCCACATCCAGAGGCCGGAGATGGTAGCATCTGCTGTGTGAGCCAGTGGGGGCCTCCCACCCTCATCTATCTCTGAACAGGAGAGCGGCAAACACAGAGCCCACCACAGATCGCAGTCCCCCAGGGTTGGTCAAGAGGAGACTGAAGTTGGGCCCTGAAGCTGGTCCTGATCTGAGCTGACAGACTTGGCCAGTCCCGGGCCTGTGCTCCTGCTGGGGGCTATGAGGCCTTCCAACCAGGAGCCCCCAGACTCCCAGAAGCCTCAGCACCCCTGTCTCCTCCTGGGTGACTCCCCACTCTGGAATTTCCCTACCAATAAAAGCAAATCTTAAAGCTCAGAATGTGAAGTGAGAGGTTTCCTTCCCCTCCTTCTGCAGTGGGGGTCAGGTGGGGGGTCAGAGTCCTCCCAGGACTGGCTGCTGAATCGGTCATGGAACGAACGCTCTGGGCCCCTTCCTGTGTCCTGGCAGGGAGCCCCCTCCTCTGCTCCAGTCAGGACAGCGCTAGGCCTGCCTCTGCTGAGGTCCCTGTGGCAGAAAAGCCTAAGGTCAGGTTCTGGGGACAGGAGAGGACCTCAGGTTCAACCCCAGTTGGCCAGGGAGTGAGCACTTGGCTCTGTTGGGCTTGCACAGGGCAGGGTCACTCCAGATGGCCCTGGGAGCCGTGCTTACCTCAGAACCCACAGACCAGACCCAACAACTCCCTGGCCCAGGCATGGCCATGTCTTCAGGGCATACTTATAGGACAATAAGAAGGGTTATTTTATTTATTTTTTTTTTCTGAGACAGAGTCTTGCTCTGTCGCCCAGGCTGGAGTACGGTGGCATGATCTTGGCTCACGGCAACCTCTGTCTCCCAGGTTCAAGCGATTCTCCTGCCTCAGCCTTCTGAGTAGCTGGGATTACAGGTGCCTGCCACCATGTCTGGCTGATTTTTGTATTTTTAGTAGAGACAGGGTTTCATCATGTTGGCCAGGCTGATCTGAAACTCCTGATCTCAAGTGATCTGCCCTTGTCAGCCTCCCAAACTGCTGGGATTACAGGTGTGAGCCACCATACCCGGCCAATAAGAAGGGTTAGAAAAGAGACAAAGGGGGTGTCCCTGCTAGGGGTTAGGGTCAAATGCAGGCGGTTCCCTCCTTTCCCAGCTCAGGCCCAGCCCCTCTTGCCCATCTCCCACCACCCATGGTGGGGGGGTCTCATCAGTTCCCCCCTGGCTCCTGCAGGCCCCCTGGGCTGCCCCTCTATTGGGGTGATAAAGCTGATAACCCTCATGCCTATGAGCTGCTGGGCCAGGGAGAGGCACCCCCTCCCTCTGCCCTTTGGCCTGAAACAGGCCCTGCGCCCCAAGTCATGAGGGAAGCTTCCAGACTGACTCAGGCTCATGCTGGCCCCTGGTCCCCAGTGTCTCAGGGACCAAAGGTCTCTGGCACCCATTTATTTATGAGTTTCTTTCTCTGAGGCTCATTTTGCCAGCTCCTCCCGGGGTAACGGGTAAGTCAGACATGCTCGGAGCTCCGATGCCGAGGCCAGGGACCATGGCGCTGTGTCTGCTGACCTTGGTCCTCCCGCTCCTGTCCCCACAAGCTGCTGCAGAGCATGGTGAGTGACCCCCACGCCCTGCTGCCCACGAGGCCCCCATCCCAGGGGCCGGCCTGCTCTGTCTGCCCATCCGCGAGAGAGGGCTGCCTCCAAGGCACCAATGGGGGGGCCCTCTGCCTGGAGCTCAGCCCTGTGCCCACCCCTTGGACTTCTCTTCTCTCCCCAGCAAGCTTTGGCGGGAAGAGCCAGGGCATTGGAGCCTTGTCCAGTTGAGGGTCTCTGAGCTTTAGTTTCCCCTTCTGGGAAACTAACTTCTGACTCCCCTCCAGAAAATAAGAATAATAACACCTGCTTTTCAGGGCTGCTGCTAGGACTGACAACAGCCACCCCCAGGCATGATCCCTGGCACAAGACTGATGCTCAACCCATGTTAGGGTCTGTCCTTACCCAGTGAATGTTCCCGCTAACTCCCTGTCACCTCCCACACCAGCACACCCTGCTGTGTGCCCCGGGGAATGTTTCCGGGATAAACACACGGGCACAAAATGGGGTTTCAGGACCCCCAGATTCTAATCCTGCCATGAACCAGCTATGCACCCTGGGGCTGCTCAGTTCATCTCCCGTCTCGGTCTCCCCAAAAGACAAGGCATTAGGACCTCTGAGGATCATTCCAGCTCAGCTGCTTTGGGCTTCTTGGTCATGGGGACCCAGGGACTCAGGGCAGGAGGGATAACTGTGGTTCCAGTTGGACCCTCCTGAAGTGTCCTCTGCCCCTCACCAGCCCCCAGAGAAGGGCGCAGGGGAACCAAGACAGAAACTGGACCCATAGACCTCAGGGTCCCTGCCCCTTGAGATGTCACCCTGTGGCGATGTCACCCAGACCTGCCAGCCCATTCGTCATAATGAAAACACTCCCTTGCTTGCACTTGCTGTGCCTCCCAGACCCTTGGTGATGTGTCTCTAATAATAGCATCTTAGCCATGATCTTTTGTTTCCCTCCCAACCCTCCTCCCTGCTCGGTTTCCTTTTCTTTCTTTCTTTGTTTTTTTTTTTTTTTTTTTTTTTTTTTTTTTTTTTTGAGACGGGGCCTCACTCTGTCACCCGGGTTGGAGTGCTGTAGCGCAATGTTGGCTCACTGCAGCCTCCACCTCCCAGGTTCAAGCGATTCTCCTGCTTCAGGCTCTTGAGTAGCTGGGATTACAGCCACGCGCCACCATGCCCAGCTAATTTTTGTATATTTTTAGTAGAGACAGGGTTTCACCATGTTAACCAGGCTGGTCTCAAACTCCTGACCTCTGGTGGTCCTCCCACCTTGGGCTCCCAAAGTGCTAGGATTACAGGGGCGAGCCACCGCTCCCGGCCCCCTCCTTTCTTTCTCTCTGCTCCTCCCTTCCCTCTTCCTGGGTTCTTCTAGCCCCTTCCTTCCCCCTCTCTTCTCTTTCTTCTTCTCCCCACCTCTCCTTGGCCCCCTCCTGGCCTCTCCCAACTTTCTGCATGTTGTCACTGGTTTCATCCCTAGCCTCAGTCTCCTCCTCTGTAGAATGTGACCTTTCAGACCCTGTTCCTGCTTTCCAGGATTCTGTGGCTCCTCCGTCTCTGCGACTGGCATCGGCTGTCCTCTGGGGCCCTGGCCAGCTTTGAGCAGCCTCTGACCCTTTCCATGTCCCCTCTCCAGGGACTCATAGCCCCACCCCCACTCAAGTCATGGGGCTGGGGATACCAGGGCAGGGCGTGGGTCTAGAGGGACAGCTGCAGTGACCTCAGCCTGGTCCTTCCCAGCAGACACACCCTCTCACCCTGCAGATCACCTGGTTATATTGAATGTCAACAAAACACAACGTCCTGTCTGTTGGCCCAGCCCTGCCCTGCTGTCACAAATGCCCTCTCACCCCCACACCCAGCATGAGGGCCACCAAGGCCTGGGTGCTCAGTCACCTGTCCATGGCAGGTATCCCTCTGTCCTCCCCGCATCCCTGTCTAGGGCTCTTTCCCCATCTAACACTTCCATCACCATCCCATTCTTGTCCCCGAGAGATTCTTTTCTTTCTTTCTTTCCTTTTTTTTTTTTTTTGAGACAGAGTCTCAGTCTCTGTCTCAAAAACTCAGTCTGAGTCTCAGTCTCTGTCTCAGTCTCAGTCTCAGTCTCAGTCAAATACTCAGTCTGAGTCTCAGTCTCTGTCTCAGCCACCCAGGCTGGAGTGCAGTGGCATGATCTCAGCTCACTGCAACCTCCACCTCCCGGGTTCAAGCAATTCTCCTGCCTCAGCCTCCCGAGTAGCTGGGATTACGGGTACACGCTACCACACCCAGCTAATTTTTGTATTTTTAGTAGAGACGGGGTTTCACCATGTTGGCCAGGGTGGTCTTGAACTCGGAATCTCAGGTGATCCACCTGCCTCGGCTTCCCAAAGTGCTGGGATTACAGGCATGAGCCACTGCGCCCGGTACCCTCCTGAGAGATTCTGAGGAAACTTCAAATGTCTACCTCAGTTCCCTACTCCCATCAACAAGGCTCCCCTCCCAGGCCTGGTGCGGTGGCTCATGCCTATAATCCCAGGCCTATTGGGAGACCAAGGTGGAAGGATCACTTGAGCCTAGGAGTTTGAGACCGTCCTGGGCAACATAGCAAGACCCTATCTCCACAACAAAGTAGCTGGGCATGGTGGTGCATGCCTGTGTCCCACCTACCTGGAAGGCTGAGGTGGGAGGACTTCTTGAGCCTGGGAGGTCGAGGCTGCCGTGAGCTGTGATTGCACTACTGCACTCCAGCCTGGATGACAGAGTGAGACTCTGTCTCCAAAAAAACCAAAAACACCCACCTCCTCCAGGGAGCCTTCCAGGAATCTGCACTAACTCTCCTTGCCTCAAACCCACCCCTGCAACCACAGGCGACCAGAAAAAACTGTAGTTGTTGCTCCCTGGGGCTGTCATTATAAAGTACTGCAATCTTGGTGCCTTAGGACAACAGAAATGGATTGCCTCGCTGTCCTGGATGGAGGCCCGACATATACAAACACCAGAAGAGCGTACAGGGCCATGCTCCTCCTGAAGTCGCCGGGGGGGGGTCTGTCCCAGGCCTCTCTCCTGGCTGCAGGTGGTTGGTGGCAATCTCTGGCGTTCCTGGGCTGGTAGATGCATCACCTCCATTCTTTTTTTTTGAGATGGAGTCTTGCTCTGTTGGCCCCAGGCTGGAGTGCAGTGGCCGGATCTCAGCTCACTGCAAGCTCCGCCTCCCGGGTTTACGCCATTCTCCTGCCTCAGCCTCCTCAGTAGCTGGGACTACAGGCGCTCGCCCGTTGCCTGGCTAGTTTTTTTGTTATTTTTTAGTAAGGAGACGGGGTTTCACCGTGTTAGCCAGGATGGTATCGATCTCCTGACCCTCGTGATCCGCCCATCTCGGTCTCCCAAAGTGCTGGGATTTACAAGGCCTGAGCCACTGTGCCGGCCCGCCTCCATCTTTACCTCATCTTGCTGTAGGTGTATCTGTCTCTATGTTGGGTTGGGACCCATGCTAGTGACCTCAGTTTAACTCGATCCCCCTGCAAAGACCCTACTCTCCAAATAAGGCCACTTTCTGGAGCACTGGGGTTTAGGGTTTTCAATTCAGCTGACAGCAGAAAGGAATGAGGGGAGACCCTGCCAGGGTGGGGCATGGGGGAGCAGACCTTTTCAAAATTTAAAATATATATAGTTTTTGGTTTTTATTTTTTTTTAAAGACAGGTCTCACTCTGTCCCAGGCTGGGAGTGCAGTGACACTATCTCGGCTCATTGCAACCTTCCGCCTCCCAGGTTCAAAT